CCTCCTGGGTTCAAGCAATTCTCCTGCCTCAGCCTCCCGAGTAGCTGGGACTACAGGCGTGCGCCACCATGCCCAGCTAATTTTTGTATTTTTAGTAGTGACGGGGTTTCACCATGTTGACCAAGATGGTCTCGATCTCTTGACCTTGTGATCCACCAGCCTTGGCCTCCCAGAGTGCTGGGATTACAGGCGTGAGCCACCGCGCCCGGCCTCGTTGGTAACTTTTTAATTACAATTTCAATCTTGCTTCTTGTTACTGGTCTGTTCAGAGTTTGTATTTCTTCCTGGCTTAATCTAGAAGGGTTGTATATTTCCAGGAACCTATCCGTCTCTTCTAGGCTTTCTAGTTTATTTGTGTAATGGTGTTCATAGTAGCCTTGAACGATCTTTTGTATCTCTGTGGTATTGATTATAATATCTGTTTCATATCTAATTGTACTTATTTGGGACTTCTGTCTTTTTCTCTTGGTTATTCTTGCTAATGGTCTATCAATTTTATTTCTCTCTTCAAAGAACCAGCTTTTTGTTTAAATTGTCTTTTGTGTTTGTTCGTTTCTATTTCATTTAGTTCTGCTCTGATCTTCATTATTTCTTTTCTTCTTCTGGGTTTGGGTTTGGTTTGTTCTTTTTTTTTTTTTTTTTTTTTTTTTTAAATATGGAATGCTTTGTGTCATCCTTATGCAGGGGCCATGCTAATCTTCTCTGTATCATTCCAGTTTTACTAAATGTGCTGCCAAAATGAGTATGGTTTGTTCTTGCTTCTCTAGTTCCTTGAAGTGTGACCTTAGATTGTCTGTTTGTGCTGTTACAGACTTTTTGAGTAAGCATTTAATGCTATAAACTTTCCTTTTAGCACCATTTTTGCTGTTTCCCAGAGGTTTTGATAGGTTGTGTCACTATTGTTCAGTTCAAAGAATTTTTGAATTTTCATCTTGATTTTAGTGTTGACTCAATGATCATTTGGGAGCAGGTTATTTAATTTCCATGTATTTGTATGGTTTTGAGGGTTCCCTTTGGAGTTGATTTTCAATTCTATTCCACTGTGGTCAGAAAGAGTACTTGATATAATTTTGATTTCCTTATGTTTGTTGAGACTTGTTTTGTGGTCTGTGATATGGTCTATCTTGGGGAATGTTCCATGTGCTGATGAAGAGAATGTATATTCTGCAGTTGTTGGGTAGAATATTCTGTAATTATCTATTAAGTCCAGTTGTCCTAGGGTATAGTTTAAGTCCATTGTTTCTTTGTTGACTGTTTGTCTTGATGATCTATCTAGTGCTGTCAGTAGAGTATGGAAGAACCCCACTATTATTGTGTTGCTGTCTGTCTCATTTCTTAGGTCTTGTAGTAATTGTTTTATAAATTTGAAAGCTCCAGTGTTAGGTGCATATGTATTTAGGATTTTGATATTTTCCTGTTGGACTATTCCTTTTATCATTGTGTAATGTTCTTCTTTGTCTTTTTAACTGCTGTTGCTTTAAAGTTTGTTTTGTCTGATATAAAAATAGCGATTCTTGCTTGCTTTTGGTGTCCATTTGCATGGAATATCTTTTTCTAGTCCTTTACCTTAACTTTATGTCAGTACTTAGGTGTCAGGCCAGTCTCTTGAAAACAGCAGATAGTTGGTGAATTCTGCCATTCTATATCCCCCTTTTTTTTTTTTTTTTGAGATGAGTCTTGCTCTGTTACCAGGTTGGAGTGCAGTGGCATGATCTCGGCTCACTGCAACCTCCGCCTCCCGATTTCAAGTGATTCTCCTGCCTCAGCCTCCCGAGTAGCTGGCACTACAGGTGCCCGCCACCATGCCCAGCTAATTATTTATATTTTAGTAGAGACGGGGTTACACCGTGTCGGCCAGGTTGGTCTCAATCTCCTGGGCCTCCCAAAGTGCTAGGATTACAGGCATGAGCCACCCCCCACCCCAAACCCCTCCCCCGGCCCATTCTGTATCTTTTAAGTAGAGCATTTAAGCCATTTACAATTAACGTTAGTGTTGAGATGTGAGGTACTGTTCTATTCATCATGCTATTTGTTGCTTAAATACCTTTTTTTTTTTCATTGTGTTGCTGTTTTATAGGGTCTGTGAGATTCATGCTTTAAGGAGATTCTATTTTGGTGTATTTCGAGGATTTGTTTCAAGATTTAGAACTCCTTTTCATAGTTTTTGTAGTGCTGGCTTCATTGTGGCAAATTCTCTCAGCATTTGTCTGAAAAAGACTGTATCTTTCCTTCATTTATGAAGCTTAGTTTTGCTGGATTCAGAATTTTGGCTAATAATTGTTTTGTTTAAGGAGGTTAAAGTTAGGACCTCAATCTCTTCTAGTTTGTAGGATTTCTGCTGAGAAATCTGCTGTTAATCTGATAGGGTTTTCTTTATAAATTACCTGATGCTTTTGCCTCACAGCTCTTTAGATTATTTTCTTTGTCTTAAATTTATATAGCCTGATGACTGTGTGCCTAGGTGATAATCTTATGATGAATTTCTCAGGTGTTCTTTGAGCTTCTTGTATTTTGATGTCTAGATCTCTAGCAAGGCTAAGGAAGTTTTTCTCAGTTATTCCCTCAAATATGTTTTCCAAACTTTTAGACTTCTCTTCTTTCTTGAGAACACCAATTATTCTTAGGTTTGGTTGTTAAACATAATCCCAAACTTCTTGGAGGCTCTTTTCATTTTGTAAAATTCTTTTTTCTTTATCTGTGAGCTCTGAAGTTCTTTCTTCTTGTTCGATTCTATTGCTGAGACTTTCCAGTACATTTTGAATTTCTGTAAGTGTGTCCTTGATTTCCAGAAGTTGTGATTGTTTTTTATTTATGCTGTTTCACTGCAAATTTCCCCATTCATATCCTGTATCTTTTTTTTCTTTTAATTTCTTTAAGTTGGACTTTACCTTTCTCTGGTGCCTCCTTGATTGGTTTAAAAGTTGACCTTCTGAATTCTTTTTCTGACAGTTCAGAGGTTTTGTCTTGGTTTGGATCCATTGCTGGTGAGCTAGTATGATCTTTTTGGGGTGTTAAGGAACCTTGTTTTGTCATATTGTTGGAATTGTTTTTTTGGTTCCTTCCCATTTGGGTAGACTGTATCAGAGGGAAGATCTCGAACTCAGGGACTGCTGTTCAGTTTCGTTTGTCTGATGAGGTGCTCCCTTGATGTGGTGCTCTCTTCTTTACTATAGGGATAGGGCTTCCTGAGAGCTGAACTGCAGTGATTGATATTTCTCGGCTGGGTACGGTGGCTCAAGCCTGTAATCCCAGCACTTTGGGAGGCCGAGGCGGGTGGATCACAAGGTCAAGAGATCGAGACCATCCTGGTCAACATGGTGAAACCCTGTCTCTACTAAAAATACAAAAAAATTAGCTGGGCATGGTGGTGCGTGCCTGTAATCCCAGCTACTCGGGAGGCTGAGGCAGGAGAATCGCCTGAACCCAGGAGGCAGAGGTTGCGGTGAGCCAAGATCGCGCCATTGCACTCCAGCCTGGGTAACAAGAGTGAAACTCCGTCTCAAAAAAAAAAAAAAAAAAAAGAAAAGGATATTTCTCTTCTGGATCTAGCCACCCAGTGGAGCTATGGGCTTCTGGGCTGGTACTGAGGACTGTCTGCAAAGAGTCCAGTGATGTGATCTGTCTTCAGGTCTCAGCCATGGGTACCGGCACCTGCTCCCATGGAGGTAGCAGGGGAGTGAAGTGGACTCTGGGAGAGTCCTTGGCTGTATTTTTTTTTTTTTTTGAGATGGAGTTTCACACTGTCACCTGGGCTGGAGTGCAGTGGCATGATCTTGGCTCACTGCAACCTCCATCTCCTGGGTTCAAGCGATTCTCCTGTCTCAGCCTCCCAAATAGCTGGGATTACAGGCATCTACCACCACACCCAGCTACTTTTTGTATTTTTAGTAGAGACGGGTTTTCACTATGTTGGCCAGGCTGGTTTCAAACTCCTAACCTCATTATCCACCTGCCTCAGCCTCTCAAAGTGCTGGGATTATAGGCGTGAGCTCGGTAGGTTGTATTTTTAAGTATGCAGGTTTTGTGTTGGTTGGCCTCCAGCCAGGAGGTGGCACTTTCAAGAGTGCATCAGCTGCTGTAGTAGAAGTAAGATTAGGTGGTGAGCGGGACCATGGAGCTCCTATGAGATTATGTCCTTTGTCTTCAGAGTTCCTTGGCTGTCCCAGGAGCCTGCAGCAGCAGTCTACCTTCTTCAGAGGGTCTGTGGATTCTCTTGGCATTTCTGGTATCTTCCTCCATTGTTTTTGGAGCAAGAGTTCACGATGTAGATCTCCATCTGCTGCTCTGTTCATTGAGTGGGAGCTGCAAGTTAGTACTGCCTCCTGTCTGCCTTTTTCCCTCTCACTGTGTGATTTTGTCATTTTTATGAAAGCTTAACATTAAAAGATTTGAAAAGTTGGAATGGTGTCGTCATGTACTATGCTTGGAAAAGGGAAGACAGTCTATGATCATGTGGTGAAATTAGTGGAGATATTGGAGTAGAATAAAACGATGTATTTAATATTGAATTCTATAGATGATGTTGGCTGTATATGACATTGATATGTAATGCTTTGAGCTTCTTGTATTTAGCTGTCTGTGCAGTGTGAAATGCAGTATGAAATCTGCAGTGGGAATAATTGAAGATGTTATAAAAAAGTGGAACATGAAATCTTTATGGAGGCCAAAGGCAATGTTGGTGGGTTTACCTGAGATTTGCTAAGATGCTCTTGTGTAGTCCGTTCCACATAGCTCTTAAGAGGTGGTCTACTTTTTATCTTGATGTAATAGCTTGCAGCTGATTTGAATCTAACCCAGTTTTTGTTTTCCTTTGAGAATGTGTTGGTTGTATGGGTTTAAACGTCACCATTGTTGAAATGAGACTGAGTAAATCTGATAGTCATCTTTTATTTTTCTGTTAGCTTTGCTGGGTGTAGATAAAGCAAATGGTATGTAAATATCAAAATTATTTTTTAAAGGATAAATAATGTTTTTTTTTTCTCCTTTGAATTTTATTCTAGGATCCATCAGTTACACAAGTGACAAGAAATGTTCCACCAGGACTTGATGAATATAATCCATTCTCGGATTCTAGAACAGTAAGATGATTCTTACTTTTAAATGTTTAAATTGAAATTCAATAGGAATTATATTTTAACTATGATTTTTTTTTTAGTGGATTGGTTAAACTTATATAAAACAAATTGTTAATGTTTTTAGTATTCAGCAAGCTTGGATTTTTCTAATATGTAGAAATATTAGTAGTAATTGAAGATTACCATGATGTTCCTAGTGAAATACTTCAAATTTTCCTTCATGTTTTACAAATTAAATCACAAAATCTCTCTAAAATGTAAACTTTTCTATGTTACTTGAAATGCTAGGAATTAGAGAAATGTTTCTTCGTATACATGTTGTCTACCTGATAATGTGGGGTAATTTTTTTTTATGTGGAAACCGTATGGAACTATACCATAAATATTTGTATGATTGTCCTTTGAATTAGATTATTCTGAATGTAGCCTTCTGTTCTGGCAGAGTAGAACCTCTGGAACTTTACCCAGTCTAGGAAAGCATCTTTTTCCCCTCAAAATTGTTATTTTTCCTTTTTCTTTTTAAAATTTATTTATTACAGAGACAGGGTCTTCTGTGTTCCCCAAGCTGGTCTTGAACTCCTGGCCTCCCAGCCATCCTCCCACCTCAGCCTTCCAAAGTGCTACAACTACAAACATGAGCTATGGCACTTGACCTCAAAATTCAGTATTGATTTATAAAATGTACAAGTATGAAAAAAAATCCTCATAGAACAATGGTTTGTTACTCTAGATGTACATTGGGAAGCATTTGGGAGACTTTATTACACTACTCCTTATGGCCCTAATCTGTTAGAGTTAGGACAATTTTTCTTTCAAAGTTCTTTTCCTGATTTTATTGTGACCTGGATTTGAAACCATTGAGGTAGATTCTGTTGAGAATTATCCCCAGAATTTTTTTTTTTTTTTTTTTTTTTTGAGACGGAGTTTCGCTCTTGTTACCCAGGCTGGAGTGCAATGGCGCGATCTCATCTCACTGCAACCTCCGCCTCCGGGGTTCAGGCAGTTCTCCTGCCTCAGCCTCCTGAGTAGCTGGGATTACAGGCATGTGCCACCATGCCCAGCTAATTTTTTGTATTTTTAGTAGAGACGGTGTTTCACCATATTGACCAGGTTGGTCTTGATCTCTTGACCTCGTGATCCACCCGCCTCAGCCTCCCAAAGTGCTGGGATTACAGGCTTGAGCCACCGCGCCCAGCATATCCCCAGAATTTTTGTGGCAACTAATTTCATCTCCTGTATTTGGGTCCCCCTCCAATACTTTGTTACATTTCCCTGTGCATCTCTTCTATTTGCCTGTTCCTGAGTTGTATCCTGTAATAAGCAGCTAGTAATAAGTAAATTGTTTCCTTGAGTTCTGAGAGCCCTTCTAGAAAATTATCAAATCTGAGGAGAGGGTCATGGAAACCCCAAGTTTATAGCAAGTTAGTCGGTACAGGCAGCGATCTGTGACTTTTGACTGGTGACTTGGGACTTGTGACTGGTGTCTGAAATGAGCCCTTAACCTGTGGGATCTGTGATAGTCCAGGTAGGTAATGTTGGAATTGAACTGAATTGTAGGACATCTAGATGGTATCCAAAGACTTGGAGAATTGGTTGGCGTAGGGAGTAAAAAACCCCACACATTCAGTGTCAATAGTGTTGTTGGTGAAAACAGTCTGAAAGTAAAGGCATTAAAATAAGAATGAACTTTTAAATTTCTTTTTATTTCAAAGCCCTCATTTAACAGCCTTTGCTTATATGCAGCAAGTTAATCCCAGGTTGGGATCACTAAAGTGTGCTCTTTGAGCATGTAAGTTACAGGTTGACACATGTGAAATGGTCAGTTAGTTGACCAGTTTTGATAATATAAAAATGGTGGTTTCATATGATTCAACCTAAATAAATTAGTGCTGTGGATATGTGAGAGTGCAATTTGTTAGTAGTTGTTGAAGGGAAAAAAAGAAGAGCTGGTAAATTATATTCCACTATATGTAGTTCTTTTAACTTGATTTCTAGGGGGTGGAGATGGGAACAAGACCATTTTTAAAGATTGCTGATAAAGAATGAAAAGAGATTTTTATATAAATGTTTGGAAAACTGTACTCGCAAGAAATATGTTTAGCTTTTTATATAGTAGCAGCTTTAGATTACTCTTATCAGTTGTGGTATTCTTCATCCAGCTGTCTACTTCATGCCATGCACTTTGCCTGTATTATCTTATTGAATTCTCATAACATTCAAAATTGATACTTAAAATCTCCATTTTACTAATAAAGAATCTGAGACACATATCATCCAGCTAGTAAGTGGCAGAACTGGCTTATTAAGTCGTGTGTTCTCTGTAAAGTTTTTGTATTTTTTATTTTGCTAGTGCTCTCTTTGGAGAGAGATAGATGCCTAAGAAATAGAAAATATAGTCCTGGTCTTTGAAAGATTTCTCACCTAATTGGTATTTTAAAAATCACACAGGCTGGGCGCGGTGGCTTAAGCTTGTAATCCCATCACTATGGGAGGCCGAGGTGGATGGATCACGAGGTCAAGAGATCCAGACCATCCTGGCCAACAAGGTGAAACCCCGTCTCTGCTAAAAATACAAAAAACTAGCTGGGTGTGGTGGCGCATGCCTGTAATCCCAGCTACTCAGGAGGCTGAGGCAGGAGAATTGCCTGAACCCAGGAGGCGGAGGTTGTGGTGAGCCGAGATCGCGCCATTGCACTCCAGCCTGGGTAACAAGAGCGAAACTCTGTCTTAAAAAAAAAAAAAAAAAAAAATCACACAGGCTGGGCGCGGTGGCTCAAGCCTGTAATCCCAGCACTATGGGAGGCCGAGGCGGATGGATCACAAGGTCAAGAGATCCAGACCATCCTGGTCAACAAGGTGAAACCCCGTCTCTACTAAAAATACAAAAAATTAGCTGGACATGGTGGCGTGTGCCTGTAATCCCAGCTACTCAGGAGGCTGAGGCAGGAGAATTGCCTGAACCCGGGAGGCGGAGGTTGTGGTGAGCTGAGATCGTGCCATTGTACTCCAGCCTGGGTAACTAGCGAAACTCCACCTCAAAAAAAAAAAAAAAAAAAAAAAAAAAAAAATCACACAGACACAAAGACGATATATCCAGAACAAATAAAACATAAAACATAAACTGTGATTCCAAATGTTGAGACTTTATAGTTACAGAAAGATTTTCTGAAAGTGAATGGTCTTGAGCAGGGAGGTAGGCAATAATGAGAAGCCAATTTGCAGTGAAACACTTCCCTTAGATTTAATCAACAGTGATAGGGTGTCAGAACCAGGAAAATTGTTATGAGAATTTGGTGCATTTTTTTCTGCACTTTTAACATGATGGAAAACACCATTGAAATATTAAATATTCCTTTTTTTCTTATATGATGTGATTTCAGAAATTTGTCCATTTTTGTGGCTGTGATTATTTTCCAGAGAGATTAGGTGTACTTAATTGATTTAAGTGGTACTTTGGACCTTGGTCCTATTTTATTTGATTGGTGATATTAACATCTTTATCATAGGACAGTGTTTGTGAAAAATGAAGCTTTTGATTGTTGTATCAGGGTATGATGAGCTACTTGAGGTCAAGAAAGAAGATCTAGCAGAATGCCTGAGTGTATAATCTTGCTAAGATTTAGAAAGTTCCTGTTCTTCTTTTTTATTAAAATTGTTTTTAATTTTTCTGTTTGAAAGGAATCCTTAAAGTATTTAAGAATGACTGTGGAAATTTTGAGTAATTATATACATATATATATTTAGTGATAGGGTCTCACCCTGTTGCCCAGGTTGAAGTGCAGTGGCCCAGTCATTGCTCCTTGTAATCCCAAACTCCTGGGCTGAAGCAATCCTCCTGCCTCAGCTTTTCAGGTAGCTAGTACTACAAATATATTCTGCTACAGTGGCTATTTTTTGTATAGATGAAGTCTTGGTAAGTTGCCCAGGCTGGTCTCAAACTCCTGGCCTCAAGTGATCCTCCTGCCTTGGCTGCCCAAAGCGTTGGGATTATAGGTGTGAGCTGGCTTGAATAATTTTATAATTTATATATTCACCCTTTTACACATTCAGAGAAAGGAGTTGTGATAAGATACTTTATAATATAGGCTAAGTTATTCTATTGACAGTGTCATGAAAGCCTCTTGAGCACTTGAAATATGGCTAATCTAAATTGAGATGTAATATAAAAATGTAAGACAGTCTTGAGTTATGAAATAATTTTTTTGTTTGAATTCAAAATGTGTTTTTGCATTTTGTTTTTTTGTTTTTGAGTTGGAGTGTTGCTCAGTCGCTGAGCTAGAGGGCCTTGGTGTAATCTCGGCTCACTGCAACCTCTGCCTCCCAGATTCAAGAGATTCTCCTGCCTCAGCCTCCTGAGTAACTGGGACTACAGGCACGTGTCACTGTGCCCAGCTAATTTTTGTATTTTTTAGTAGTGACGGGGTTTTACCACATTGGCCAGGATGGTCTTGATCTCTTGACCTCATGATCCTCCCACCTTGGCCTCCCAAAGTGCTGGGATTATAGGTATGAGCCACTGCACCCGGCCAAAAATGCATTTTTCCACTGAAATTATGTTGTGCATGGTAGATAGGTTTTCTGGCCTACCTTCTAAAAATCTAATGCCTAAATAACTAGAGAATTATCGTTAAGAATTGGTGTGTATTTATGGGGAATGTTTTTCTTTTCAGTTAAGTAACAGTTGAAAATGCCTATTGCAGCTTGATTCTTACTAGTTTCAGCCACTGGTGAGGGCATTTGTGGCTTTAGACAGAATTTCTTTTGGTGAGTATTGAAGGTAAGGGATGGACACCTGTGTGTGGGAGAAGTGCAGGGCTGCTGACAAATCCTTAGAGACATTTCTTGGGGCCTAGTTTACTGTCATGTTTATTTTCTTTAGGGATTGCCTGCCTGGTTCCTTTTCTGTTTTGCTGGTTGATCCCATATACGATTTCTCTCACATATAGGAGAGAGAAGAACCACAAGAGAAAATTCCAGGTACTGACCATGAGGGGATATGCCCA